GCACTCACAGGAGATGGCAAACAGCGCCTTGATCCGGACAGCCTCGCTGGAATCGTGGTCCAGCAGCTTCAGCAGCTTCCTCATGCAGCCCAGCGCCAGGGCCTGCTCCTGCACCTTGGGCACGTTCTGGGCACAGGTGCCCACCAGGTGAGCAGCCCGCCAACGCAGCTCCTGCTCCTCGTGCTCCAGGTACCGGTGTGCTAACAGCCGCATGCCCTCCAGTTTGCAGAAGTCTGGAAGGACAGCAAAGGGGTCAACGGAAAGCAGGCAGCCCAACAGAAGGCAGGATAGCTTGCAAACCCACCCACCCAGCACTATGACTTAGCTGTGGCTCACTGGGGTTACAAAGGGTAACTACTTTCCACCATATAATCTTGGAACCGTTGGGTGCGATTTACTCTTTAATTTTATTTCTTTCAACCATTTACATACACCGCTTAACACCATAATCATAAATAGTGGCGCCCTCCCTGTGGGACGCCCTCCCATCAGACGACAAGGAAATAAAGAACTGTACAACTTTTAGAAGACATCTGAAGGCAGCCCTGTATCAGGAAGCTTTCATGTTTGACATTTTATTATGCTTTTGTTATTTTGCTGGAAGCCACCCAGGGTGGCTGGGGAAGCCCAGCCAGATGGACAGGGTATAAATATTATTATTAATCTCTAGGCAGTGTACAGTAAGAGTTTAAAAAGATATAGTAAAGATAAAATCAGTTTATATTTAAAAAATCAGAATGTTTACTTGAAAGCCCTGCTGAAATAAAAAGATAGTTGCTGGGTGCTGGTCAGTCAAGGAAGGAGAGGCCTGTCTGATCTCAGCTGACTCTCCACAGAATGGGGCCTGCAATATTAATGCATGGTTTCTGGCACCCCAGCCATGAGGCACCCTCAAACAATGACCCTCCTGAAGCCCTCAGTGAATCAAATCCTTAATGTATCCTGGACCCAAGTTGTTAAGAGCCTTAGAAATTAAGAGAATAATCTTGCCACCTTCTAATATGCCCCTAAGGACATTTCTCACTTCTTAGATCTTAGCTCAATCTCAATCTCCTAGTGTTTCCATGCCAAATTACTCAAGGTACTTTCTTCCCCACTCTCTTGCACACTCTCTTTCTCCCTTGTGCGCACACACACACACACACACACAGAGGAATGGGGCCTTTTCTATACCTGCAGCATTGTCCAAGTTTTCACACAGTTCTGCCAGAAGGTCCAAGGCACCTTCTCTGTTCTCAAGGTCTGAATGCGCTTCCTCTGAACTCTCCCCTCCACGTTCTGCTCCGGGGGTTGATGGCTCCAGCAGCCTCAGACATTCCTTCATCTGTTCCACCTCGTCCACTTGCCCCCGGAAGGCCTCGACCATCGCCTCCTGCAGCCACTGTCTCCGCTGCAGAGTGGCATAGGGAACAGAGGTGAATGAATAGGAAACATATTGGGAATTTCATACGCATGTGTCCTTCCTCCTCCTGCCAATAGCTCACTCTGTCCCCCAGAAATAACCTAAATTTTATCTCCTAGCCCCCATATTAGACACAACCTCTCTCCTAGAAGAGTCTTGCTTTTCAGCACCTGCCAGTCTAGTTCCTTGCATACACCGCTGAGTTAGGGAAAGTTGTGCTTAGAAAATTGGCTTTTGGGTTCTCGCCACTGTCGTCAACTCCTCTTGGAGCTGCCAACTTTAGACAGGAGCCAAACTGTATCTCTACAGTGACCCTGTGACCCTTCAGACATTGATGGACTCCAATTCCCATCAGCCCCAGCTGGCATAGCCAATGGGCACAGATGTTGGAAGCTGTCATACAGCAATAGCCCAGAGGGCTCCTGGTTCCTCAAACTGGTTTCAACAGCGCTTTGACAGGCAGGCAATGCTGTCTTATCTCCATGCCCCTCCAAACATCAGCTGCTGATTTGTGAACGCTAAGCGCTGCTGTTAAAGGCACAGGAGCAGGACAGCTTGAGATCTTTTTTTCCTAGCCCCAAGCTAGTTGCACGGTGCAATGGTTAAGGCCAGGAATGGACAGTGTGTCTATGTATGAATACACAAACACTTTTTGCAAATTAGATATTCTAATTATTTGTATGATTTGTATGATTTTTATTTCTAGTTTCACAGCATTAGTTGGATGAGCTTAGTAATGTGATAGCAACGCAGGGAAAATATTTGGATAGTACCTCCTAGGCTGCTTCTGATCTAACCTGCTCTGTACCTCGCTAGATAATCTTGGTATTTAGCTTCCGCAATCAACACTAGCTTTAACACATCAGGATCGCAGGACAGCACCTTCCTCAAACTCATTCCCCAGATCTAACAACCATTTGACCTCACCACCACCCCTCCTATAAAAGCCAAGCCACGCACCTCATCAGACATGGGCTCCATCGGGGCAGGTTCAGCGTTCCCTGCAGTGACCGCCATCTGCAGCAAGCCCTGGAGGTTGTGGGGTGGTTCGCGAGGTGGCTGGTTCCCACCAGCGCCTCCTTCAGCCATGGCTGGGGAATGCTGTTCCAGTCAGTAGGCAACTCACAAAGCTTTAAAGAAAAAGTAGAGAGAATGAGAAACGAGCATGACTGAGAAAGCAGGGGGTCAGCCTACCTGCCCAAGTTCATCCTGCCAAGACACTTACCAGGTGTGTCTTGGCTCCAGCTCCACTTTTGTGCAAACACCATTACTATACTGATAAATGGGACCTGCAACAAAGTGTTGCAGCGTGGAGTGCTCCCGTTCAGGGTTCTGGCCAGGGTACGCCATTCAGTCCCTACGCACCCAAAAATCAGCCAGCATTTCTTGGCACTAAGCATGTTCAGTCCTCAATGGGCTGCTTTTGAGGTTTCCCCACACTTAGGGTTCCTCCCCCCCCCCCAAAGATTTGTTTGAGGTTTCTCCGAATCTGTTAATGTCTATTATTATTTCAATTTCTATCCTGCCCTTCCTCCCAGAGGACCATTTTGGCCACCTAAAGAACCAGACATGGAGAATGAGTATGCTGTTAGTACATACAGGATTCAGGCTTCCACATTTCCAGACTCACATTGGGAATTCTGCGGCTACCCTCTGACAAGGCCCAGGTTTCCATTCAAACCTGAAAATTTAGAAGAGGCTTGTGGGGCTCTCCTTCCCCAGCTCAAAGACTGAATAAGAAGACTGGGGCTTGCTTGGAAACTACTCTGCCAAGGAACCTGGAGCAATTTGGCCATGCAGCAATAAACTGTATTGAGACCACACCAAAAATCACACAGCTCTGAATTTACAGAATACCTTCAAAGCACAGCCTAAAAGTCAAGACAGAGGGAGAAAGATGGAGGCAAGGGTAAACGCCACACCAAGATACCAAGGGGGGATAGCCCCACCTTTCCATTTCCCACTGTTTATAGTGCTCAGGAGTAAGCCACCTTTCTCCCACTGGATGCTAGCTCATTTGCATTACCTGGGAGATGGTCTGGGAGAGGCCACAAGCAGAATACATCTAGCATCCAGAGCATCCCCTCACAGAGCAATGAATCTCAGAAGAATAGAAGAAGAATCGTTTGATAGACCACTTTAGGAATTGTTGGCTCTGTGAGGTGGTTGGGGATCTCTTAACAATTCATGGCATCCTTAACAAAGTACAGTTCCCTTGATTTTTTGGGAGAAAACAAGGCCTCTTTAAAGCGATGTGGCACTTCTATACATGTATTGTGTAGTTGGGGCCTTGGCCTGACCCAACAGGGCTCTTCCTTAAGGATGGTTACTCTACTCCAGTGTTCCCCAACCTTGGGCCTCCAGCTGTTTTTGGACTACAATTCCCACCATCCTTGACCACTGGTCTTGCTAGCGAGGGATGATGGGAGTTGTAGTCCAAAAACAGCTGGAGGCCCAAGGTTGGGGAATACTGCTCTACTCCACCAGCCAGATGCTTCCATAGGAACACAGGAAACTGTATAGTATCAGTGGTCAGGCCCGGTCCATCTAACTCAGCAATGTCTACACTGACTGGCAGCAGACCTCCAGGATTTCAGACACGGGTCTTTCTCCCTACCCTGCCAGGAGAGGCCAGGGATTGAACCTTGGCAGACCCTTCTTCCCCTTCCAGCATGCCCACTCAAAAGCCGCTAACCCAGTTCCAGATTTCCACCCTACCTTTCCACCCCACACTTTTTAAAAAAAAAAAAGTTTTAAATTAAGTTTTACGATTTTATCATCATCACAATCAACATTATCTCAAAAGCAGAATATAAATCCCCAACCCCCCAGCCCCGCCCCCGATACTTCCCTCAATTTCCTTTTCTGGTTCTTTGAGTGTTTGCTTCCCCTGCTTGTTTTATCCTACCTTAATATTGCAATCTTCAACTTGAATATTACTATATTCTTAACATTTTTATACCATACTTGTTTTCATATTTCCTCTTACCCTTTGTTATTTTCCAGTTTTTACATCTTAATTTCTATGTTGTTGATTGTCTTTACTCAAACCCTGCTAGTGAGTCCGCTTCTTTTACAGTGTTTCTGTAAACACCCCATAAATGGTTCCCGGTCTTTTTAAAAGTCTCTATTGTCCTTGTCTCACCTTCTCCCCACACATAACCAAGCTGCTTTTCATTTTTCTAAAAAAAAACCCACAACCCACCTGTCTGGGGCGGGTGGGAGAATCTCCCCATTTCCCCCACCCCGGTAAACTTCTCCCCCGCCCTTCCTTTCGCCTCCCCTCCTCCAAGCCTCACCCACCGCAAAGGCCGGCCCATTCCCTCCACTAGCCAAAACTGCTCCCTCCCGCCCCCAGCTCGCCCCTTCGCCCGCTGGCGCTGCCCCCCGAGGCGCCCCTTCCCCCGCCACCCCACTCACCCCGCAGGTAGCAGCGGCGGCGGCAGCAGCAGCCCCTCTCCGAACTCCGGGTTCAGCTTCTGGAAGCGGCCATCTGCGACCACGTGGAGAGGAAAGGGAGGAGAGCAGCGTCCTCTGAACCGGGGAAGCGAGGCGGCCCCTGGCGGCAGACCGAGGGGATCGCGCGAGGAGCAGATCCCACAACCGGCTCCCAAATGCTCGAAGCGCTTTTCACCGGTGATGCATGCGAAGCGTCCTTCGCTCGGCGGGTTGATGCTTTTTGCCCCCCCCTCGCCCGTCTGGGCATTGCCCCCCGCCGCATAAAGCGACTGCGGGGGAATTTGTGCGCCCTAAAAACAAGAAAGGATAGGTACATAGCTGCCAGCTTTTCCCTTTTCTTGCGAGGAATCCTATTCGGAATAAGGGGATTTCCCCTTAAAAAAGGGAAACGTTGACAACTATGGATGGGCAAAGCGCTTTCTGAGAGCGGGTCCCCAAATGTGCACGCGCGCCTGTTCAAAAACGCGGCGGCTAGCCAGTTTTTTTTTGGGGGGGGGGAGGTTGCCCCCGGGGTTTTCAGTCGCGCCCCCAGCTAACTTGGCCTCCCACCGAAAAGGCAACAGTTCTTTGGACATATTAAGTAATGGGAGGATGAGGACCAGTCGTGTGATTTAGAATAATACAGCATCAGCTCAGGAAAGCCAGAAGTTTTGAAGGGAGGGGCAGCTGCCCCCCCACCCATAAATAAAGATACATAGCAAACTGAGGTTCTGCCCCCCTAATATAAGGCCTGCCCCCCCAACAAAAATCCTGAAGCGATTCTGGACCTTCTGTAATATGGTGCCCTATGGAAGGCCAAACTCTGGCAACCCCGAGTGGATCTTCTCCAGGGCTTTTTCCCCCCTGGCTGGAACTCGGTTCTAGCATCTCTCAGGTGGGCCCCATTTCCATCCGAAGAGAACATGGCAGCCGTTTGTGGTGAGTTCCAGCATGGATCTTCTCAATTGTGGATCTCGATTTTGCAGCCCCTTGGCTTACACCCTGTGTGGCAGAACTGCCTGCACCACCCTAAATCTGGCGCTGACTTAGAGCGCTGCTTGTCAAAGGCCCATTTAGTGCAGCATTGTCAAAGGCCCATTTAGTCCAGCATCCAGTTCTCACAGTTGCCAAGCCCACAAGGGAAACATACGTGCAAAAGTGTGTTCTCCCCACTTGTGATTCCCAGCATCTGGGATTTAGAGGCTTACTATCTCTGATAGTAGAGATGGAACGTAGCCAATCATGGTTAGCAGCCATTAGTAAATTCATCCTCTCTGAATTTGCCTAATCCTCCTTTCAAGCCACCCCAAGGCCGCTTACACGCGATACCTTTAAAGCACATTCAAAGCACGTTTCCCCGCCTAAAATAATTCTGGGTGCTGTAGTTTTTTTAAAGGACGGCTGGGAATTGTAATTCTGAGGGTAGTCAACTATAGGGCCCAGAATTCTTTGAGGGAAAGAATATGCTTCAATTCTGCTATACAGTGGTACCTTGGTTCTCAAACGCCTTGGTACTCAAACGCCAAAAACCCGGAAGTAAGTGTTCTGGTTTCCGAATGTTTTTCGGAAGCCGAACATCCGATGCGGCTGTTGGCTATTGTTTCTGGGGTGCCTGCACCAATCAGAAGCTGCGCCTTGGTTTTTGAACATTTCGGAAGTCAAACGGATTAAGTTTGGCGTTTTTTCTTTTGCTTTTTCTTCTGCGTTTTTGTGACTGTGTGAAACCCAGTTCAGCTACTGATTGATTGTGTGGCTGCGGAAATGGATAAAAGCTCCCCACCCAAACAATGACTATCATTTAATTTTAATTTGTATCATCTACAATACTGTCTTATTTATTTTATAGCACAGTACATTGATTATTGCTTTCATTTTATGGATCAATGGTCTTGTTAGATAGTAAAAATCATATTAAATTGCTGTTTTAGGGGTTTTTAAAAGTCTGGAACGGAGTAATCTGTTTTGCATTACTTTCTATGGGAAAGCGCACCTTGGTTTTGGAATGCTTTTGTTTTAGAACGGACTTCTGCAACAGATTAAGTTTGAGAACCAAGCTACCACTGTAAAGGCAATTCTGCTATGACCGGTACACAGTTGGCGTCAATCTTGTGGGAGTGAGTTTCATAGTTTTAACTGAATTGTGTGGGAAAGTAGTACTTTACCCTGACTCTTCCAATAGGCCATGTGTATGACTTAGCTTCCTTCAAAATATTGTAAGACAGCTTTGCTGTGTTACCCTCCTGCACATGGGTAGGCAAAATAAGGCCCAGGGGCCGGATGCGGATGGTCCGGGAATCAGCGTGTTTTTACATGAGTAGAATGTGTCCTTTTATTTAAAATGCATATCTGGGTTATTTGTGGGGCCTGCCTGGTGTTTTTATTTAAAATGCATCTCTGAGTTATTTGTGGGGCATAGGAATTCATTCATTCCCCCCCCCCATATAGTCTGGCGCCCCCACAAGGTCTGAGGGACAGCGGGAAAAGTTTGCTGACCCCTGCTCCTGCTCATCCCACCTCAGATGGCACCTCTGATCCTGTAGTAAAGGATGTGGTGTGAATTGCTTTCCTTTTGTTTCTCAGGGCAGACATACTTTACTCTGTAACAGCAAAGCCTTCTGTAGAAACTAGATGGGTTTTCAGGTTATTTTACCTGAAACTGAGGTAAGTTACCCATAGGCACACTAAGAATAGAGATACCTTATCCTATCGAACAGAGATCTCCAAACTAAAATTCAGATCATCATCATCTCAATTTCTTAGACACCTTTTAGAAAATAAATAAATAAATCTAGGTGACTTACAAGCAGTAGGGAACATACAGTGGTACCTTGGTTTAAGAACAGCTTAGTATATGAACAACTTGGATTAAGAACGCTGCAAACCCTGAAGGAGGTGTTTTGGTTTGTGAACTTTGCCTTGGAAGCACAACATGTTCCGCTTCCTGTGGAGTATGTTCCATTTGTAAATTGAGTCCCCTGCTGCTATGGGAAAGCATGCCTTGGTTTAAGAATGCTTTGGTTTAAGAACGGACTTCTGGAACGGATTAAGTTCGTAAACCAAGGTACCACTGTACACAATTTTAAACATAACCATAACAACCAGTGAAGCTTACAGTAGTAAAACCCACACCATCCCATGAAAACCAGAAAGCATTGCAGTGGCCATTTAAACCAATCCTGATTCTAAGAAAATGATAATGATATTGTCTGGGAGTAGAATACAGTGGTACCTCTGGTTAAGAACTTAATTCGTTCCGAAGGTCTGTTCTTAACATGAAACTGTTCTTAACCTGAAGCACCACTTTAGCTAATGGAGCCTCCCGCTGCTGCTGTGCCGCCGGCGTGCGATTTCTGTTCTCATCCTGAGGTAAAGTTCTTAACCTGAGGTACTACTTCTGGGTGAGCGGAGTCTGTAACCTGAAGTGTCTGTAACCCGAGGTACCAATGTAAAGTCTTACCTGGAGCTATAAACATAGTAAGATGGGCGCCAGGTGGGCCTCACTGGGGAGAGCATTTTCAAAAATGGAGGGGTCACGTCCCGACCATAAAGGCTCTTCTCGCTACCCTCCAAACCTCTCTTGGAGGAGCATTTGGAAGAGGGCCTCATCCAGAAGCCCAGCATACTGCGGCCTCATTGGGGGCCACATACCCTGTCTGAGCCCACCAAGGCTGATGCCTTGCTTGGGTCCTCACCATCGTCCTCAGGCACTACTCAAGACCCTCAGTGGTGTGGATGCTGTTGGTCCTGGCAGTGTGGCAGCCAGTGTTCTCATGGTGAGCTCGCAATGGTGGCTACCGTATTTCATTTTGCACAACATTGTAGGAAATAAGATTTTGCGGTCACCAGGCCCCAGTCAGAACTAAGCAGGCGTTTAGCTTCCAGTCTACTGTGGCTCTTACTGCCTAGAGAGAGAGTGGGAGAGGTCTTTATGTGCCGCTTGTGGGCTTCTCATAGATCCTACCAGGAGGACAGAATTCTGGACTAGACAGGCCTTAAGACGGATCCAGCAAAGCTCATCTCATGTTCTTAGGGTGATCAGGCGTCCTACTTTTCAGGGTGCAGTTCTGTATTTGAAGGGCAGTCAGCGGAGAGTGCTCTGCTTGAAGGGCCACGCAATCCCAGATCTGGTTTGAAGAGGAAGAAGGATAAGAACAGAGAGGAGCAGCCTTGAAGTTGACCATCACCCCTGAGAAGACTGAGCTGGAACACAAGTCACGGGGTCAGTCTTCCCCATTATGGTGAGTTGTATTTCTATTTAATTGTGTGTGTGTGTGTCTATACAGTGGTGCCCCACAAGACGAATGCCTCGCAAGACGAAAAACCTGCTAGACGAAAGGGTTTTCCGTTTTTGAGTTGCTTCGCAAGACGAATTTCCCTATGGGCTTGCTTCGCAAGACGAAAACGTCTTGCGAGTCTTGCGATTTTTTCCGCTTTCCCCCCTTTTGCTAAGCCGCTAAACCGCTAATAGCGCTAATCCGCTAAGCCGCTAATAGGGTTGCTTTGCAAGACGAAAAAACCGCTAGACGAAGAGACTCGCGGAACGGATTATTTTCGTCTTGCGAGGCACCACTGTATATATACTAAATTTGCATCTATGCATATAAGTCAACATGTACATTTTTTGTGCAAATATTTATCCTAGTTGGTCCTTTTCTCTTGGCGATGATAGATTTCCTCCTTCATGTGCATAAGGTGGCCATCTTGTTGTTGCTGCTGCTACCGGGTGAGCTGTGGAGCTGTTGTAGTGCCATTGCTACAAATGGGGAGGCAGGCATTAGTCAGGGGTAGGGGAATGAGGGATAACCAAAGGCAGCCTGCACAGGGCCCTCCAAAATCTGCAGCTGGGCCTGCCCACCTACCCTGAGAATCTCATGCTTGAATAGTAATAACTATAATTACAATTACAATTACTTAGAAAGATATACGAACTGCTTAACCAAGGAGCTTCCTTCCGTATATTTCTTTATTTAACTTTTTTGAAAACACAAATTAATGATAAAACATAACGAAACAGATGCAGAGAGGGTGAGTATTAACATAAGAGGCTTAAGACAGCTCAATAATTATACTTGCCGATAATCTTTACACTTCCTTTCTCCTTTAGAATTTCTTCACAGGGCTTTTCTTTGCAGGGTTTTGAGATAAAGAGAGAATCAAAGAGCTTTCTAAGAGGTGTGTAATAAAACTGTAGGTGAAACATAAGGAAATCCACAAAATTATTTAAAAATAACCAATATTCACAAATAAAATGATTATCATTAAACCACAGAAAACAAATATCATCATGTCCCCCAGCTGTGAAATGGAACCAGTGTTTCCTAAATTGTGCTTTCTGACTGCAGGGTTGTGTTAGGTTGACTTGTGGGACCCTGACATAATATGGGATTGCATAGCTTGGAGGCAACAGACTTAAAACAGCACACGTGTCGCTGATCTGTGATCGTAGTGATCTGCAGCTGTAATAATCAAGACTGACTGACCGACAACACACAATAGCTGTGCTGGAAGGGAGCTTTTGTCTGAGGGTCCTGCCTCCCCATCCCTGCCCACATTCACCAGCAATCGTTGGGCACTGCCCTACTTCTTGGGTCCCAAAATATCCCAAGGACCAGCAGCAACAACAACCCTGTTTTTGGGTTTTGTAGAAAACGTGTGTGGGGAATGCCCACGTCTGCACGCAAGGGAGAGGATGTTGACAAGATGGGGTTCCTTCTTCCTACATCGCCCAATAAAAATAAACTGGCCTAGATTTCTGACTTGGATTTAATCAAACAAACTGAACAACTAAGGAAAGAGGCAGAGAGAGAGAGAGGCAGAGAGCTCGTGCAGGGATTATTTCTGCCTTGCAGACAACTTGAAAGTTCATCATATCTTCTTTCGAAATGTCAGCCGCTGCCTTCCTGTCCTGCTGGCGATATCTTTCCGCCCCTCACCTACTTTTGTTCCTAGCTTGAAACGGTGGCACTGCAATGGTCAGGTGAGATGCAGAAGTGATGGGAGTGTATGGCCGCCACCCCACCCCCCGCGCTTTCCCCTCCATCCCCATCCTCCTTGCACTCATTTTTTGCCCTGCCTCTTGGTCTGGAGACCTTCAGGGTGACTCCTGTTACAGGCAATAAAAAGAAAACAAAGGAGGCAGACTATCCCATTAAAAGAAATAACACTGCAAACTGGATCACAGCACAACAGCAGCAGCAACAACAACAAAGGAACGAAAGTGTCAGTGGCGCAGAAATACAAAGTCAAGGTTGCAGGCCACCCCAGTCTCTGAGCACTGCGAGATTCCAGGGGTTCCAGGCATTTACCCAAGGTCTGTGTTTCCTTTTGGAAAGCAGACTGTGGTGTCTTCATGATGCATGGTTTATTTACACATATATACAACCTGGGGGACGCAGGTGGCGCTGTGGGTTAAAGCCTCAGCACCTAGGACTTGCCGATCGAAAGGTCGGCGGTTTGAATCCCTGCAGCGGGGTGCGCTCCTGTCGTTCGGTCCCAGCGCCTGCCAACCTAGCAGTTCGAAAGCACCCCCGGGTGCAAGTAGATAAATAGGGACCGCTTACTAGCGGGAAGGTAAACGGTGTTTCCGTGTGCGGCTCTGGCTCGCCAGAGCAGCGATGTCACGCTGGCCACGTGACCCGGAAGTGTCTCCGGACAGCACTGGCTCCCGGCCTATAGAGTGAGATGAGCGCACAACCCTAGAGTCTGGCAAGACTGGCCCGTACGGGCAGGGGTACCTTTACCTTTACCTTATACAACCTGAGCCTGCGATGGAGGGGTTAACAGCATTTAGCACCCCGAGACGGTCTTGCTTCTCCCATAGCCACAGCCTTGGATTCTAGCAGAAATCAGGCATGGATCCCTCTCTCTCTGCCTTTCCAGCTAGTGGCGTTTTCCTCTAGGTCACATCACAGTAAACTCTGCTCTAAAACTTCAGATTTGTCCCTCTAACTATTGTAAGAGCTGCAGGAGGGGCCACATCCATTTGTCATATGGCACAGAGCCCCTTTCCTTTGTTCTCTTAATGGCCCATCACCCAGTCAGTTACCTCATCAGGAAGCTAGCCTGGCTTGATTAGCTTTTAACATTTGCTAGGATTATAAGTGTCTGACACCCACAAACGCATAACATCAGTTTATGCCTGCTGAAAAAGCATAAATCATTTCTCCCCCTTTTGTTTCCTCCCTCCCACACCTTTATTTAAATGGGACTTTTGAGGGTCTTTATTTTGCTCTTTATCCTGATGCTGCTTTAAATTGCTATTTGGTGCTACATGTTTTAGTGCAATCCTATGCACATTTAGTTGGGATTAAGACTCAGTAAAATATGCACAGGGTACCCATGTTATTTGGGGATGGTTTTTTTTAAGATGGTGTCCCTGCCCCCACCATACCATATATTGCTTTGTATCATTCTGTTTTAATGTACCACTGTGTACTTTTTTATTCAAAAATGCAGTAGAACAAAAGTCACTCACAGCAACTTACAGTAATAAATAAATAGCATACATTTAAACCAGCATATCTAAATCTAAAATTCATTCATATTTTTAAAGGGCAGGACTAAAACATCCCACCCACTGAAGGAGGGCACAGTTAATTAAAACCCAAAGGCTCGGTAGAAAAGAAATATTTTTCCTGGTGCTTAACGATGTATATAAAGTAATTCTAAATCATCAGTTCTCCAAAGGTAGATCCTGGTGAAGCCAAAATGGCAGCATCCCCAAGCACAAGAAGAAAGGACCAGCAGGTCTGGGGAAACCCCAAGGTCTGCAGAAGTCCAAGATGGATCAGTGACCTGATTTGTAAGTGTCCTGTGTTCTTACATTCACCCCTTCCTGTGTCTGCTTGTAATTAAATGCACACAGGTATGGTTTATCAGGATTCCTTGAGGGTCACTTCCAGTCTGACCCTTGACCGAATGCATATCCTTGCCCTGTTTAGCCTCACCTCCTCCTCTGCTGTGCCAAACTATTGACTGTAAGCTCCTCAAGGCAGAGACCTGTGACCCAGAGCCAGCGGAGTAAATGTTGCTTCTTGGCGGGGGGAGCAATTACTTCTCTGCTGCCCCATCCCCTGCAAGTCAAGAGTTGCATCTTATCTGAGGCTGGCCTCAGTTAATTTTGGCCCCACCCAAGTGACAATACAATAAATTTAATGCCTAACTATTTGCAGCCTTTTTGCAAGATCTAAAATTAGCTGCTGGAGGAAGGTAGCCTCAGTCTCCCTAGTAGGGACAGCCACCCACCTCTTGTCTTGCTTCTTGAACTCTGATAATGCCTCTTGCATGATTGGACACAGAGAAAGAGAGGATTGTGTGTAGAAACTAGTTTACTGCACAAAGAAAATTTCATATCCATTGCCCTGCCAGCTTTTGCCCCTGGCCCCACCCACCACTGCCATGTGGCCCCTGGAAAGTTGCCAAGAAGGGAATGTGGCCCTCAGACTGGAAAAGTCTCCCCACCCTTGCTGCAAAGGGCCATGCATATTACTGATGCCCTATAAACAAGCAAACAGTGCGATGCTCTGCACTGTTCACTCCGAAGTAAGCTTTTCAGTGGAGAAGCTTACGTATCTTTGCAGAAGCTTAGGAAAAGCTTGGCCTATAGCCCAACATCCAAAAACCAAAGTGCTGCACCAACAAGTACAAAATAACTCCTCTGCAGCGATACAAATCCAACTCAGTGGTGTAACATTGGAAAATGTCAATCACTTCTCTTACCTGGGCAGTTATCTTTCCACAAGGGCTGACATTGATGCTGAAATCCAGCATCGCCTGAGCTCTGCAAGTGCGGCTTTCTCCCGATTGAAGTGCAGAGTGTTTGAGGATCGGGACATTCGCAGGGAAACCAAAATGCTTGTTTACAAAGCTATTGTACTACCAACATTACTGTATGCTTGTGAAACACGGACCACTAATAAACTCCATCTCCAACTCCTTGAAAGATTTCATCAATGGTGTCTGAAAAATTTTACACATCTCTTGGGAAGACAGGCGAACTTTTACCAGTGTACTGGAAGAAGCAAAGATCACCAGTGTTGAAGCAATGATTCTTCAACATCAACTTCATTGGACTGGTCATGTTGTGTGGATGCCTGATTATCATCTTCCAAAGCAACTACTCTATTCCAAACTTAAAAATGGAAAGAATAATGCTGGTGGTCAACAAAAGATGTTTAAAGACTGTCTCAAGGCAAATTTTTAAAAATGTAGTACAAACACCAACAACTGGGAAACACTTTCCTGCGAGCACTCCAAGTGGAGAACAGCCTTTACCAAAGGTGTTGTGGGCTTTGAAGACACTCAAACTCAGGATGCAAGGGAGAAACGTGCTAAGAGGAAGGCATGCTTGGCAAATCCACATCATGATCAACTCCTGCCCGGAAACCAATGTCTCCACTGTGGAAGGACGTGTGGATCCAGAATTGGCCTCCACAGTCACTTACGGATTCATTGTTAAAACCGTGTTCATGGAAGACAATCTTACTCGGCTACAAGTGATCGCCAAAGAAGAATAAACAAGCAAACAGTGTGATGCTGTGCACTGTTCACTCCGAAGTAAGCTTTTCAGTGGAGCTTACACTCGTGTAATGATGTGTAGGATCACAGCCTTATTCTACTCTTTGAAGACTTCGCTGAATCTACTCTCTGCACCCCTGTATCAAGCATTTCTTCCATAGGAGAGGTCCTTTGATGTGTGTAAAGATTGGATGGAGGTGCTAATCCAGCCCAGTCATTAGAAAGAGGGACAAAACAAGACACCTGAAAGGTCACCTAAAACCCATTACAGGCAAATTTAGATCAACACAGTAGCTCTGCTCAGATCAGGGTTTATTTTATTTTATATATATATATATATATATATATATATATATATATATATATATGCAGGTTTTGGTGTCCTCGGGTGTCTTCCCGTGTAAAAGTTGGGGTGTCTAGGCGACGTTTCGACGAGGTCTCACTCGTCATCTTCAGGCTGGTGCTTTCGGCTTCTTGTTACTGGAACAGAGCAGTTCCAGTTCGCTCTGTTCCAGTAACAAGAAGCCGAAAGCACCAGCCTGAAGATGACGAGTGAGACCTCGTCGAAACGTCGCCTAGACACCCCAACTTTTACACGGGAAGACACCCGAGGACACCAAAACCTGCATTCCTGTACCCGTGAAAATCTACGAAAGCAAATATATATATATATATACACACACACACACACACACCACCTTTTTTCTCTAAAGAACTTGAGGTGGCATACATGATTCTTCTCTCCCCATTTTATCCTCACAGCAACCCTGTGAGGTAGGATAGGCTGAGACACAGTGACTGGGACTCAATAGCTGAATGGGTCTCAAACCCTTGTTTCCCAGGTCCTAGTCCAGCGCCCCAATCATTACACCACATTAGCTCACCGATGGCAAAGTTTAGATTGAGGCAGTTACTGCTTCACATTCCATGGGGGGGGTGTCCTTTTTAGAGACCATTTAAGCCACCTATGGCTACATAGTTGCCGTGCATTTAAAGCATATGACTTCCCCTAAAGGATCCTTGGAATTGTCACGGAACTACAATTCCCAGCACCCTTAGCAAACTAGTATTCTTTGTGGGGAGCCCTGTGCCTTCAATGTATGCTGTGCACGCCACCTGTGTCTTTGCCATGAAAGGGAGGAAAGTTCCACCTCCTGTCTCGAGAGCTTTTCCGTCTCTGGAACAATGAGCCCTCCCGTTAGGTGTTTTGCTACAATACTGTATGTTTGTTTGTTTGTTTGTTTGTGTGTGCTCCATCATATTAAAGCTGCTGGACTCTCTAGACACAAACCTGGAGACATTACCAACAAGCAAGTCTCAGCAGAGGCCTACCACCTGAGATTGCATGCCCTGTTCGGACAGGTGTAGACAGATGCCCATCCATAGAAATGGGGCTACAAAGCACAATTATTATTCTTTTGGTAAAACTAAGCTTCTGTGTCCTGCACGCTTAGAACTACACTGCTCTCTCCCAAGAGCAGAGTTACAGGTATGCATTTTCAGGCTGTCAGAGCTCATACTCATTGTTTGGAGGTGGTTGGAAGAGAAAGGAGGGAAATCTATCTCCCTCTCTCCTATGTGGCCACACCTGATCCCTTTTTAATACAGTGCAAGCCTCTTTGCACGCATGCACGCACACACACACACACACACACACACACACATGCATTTACACACCTTCCTCCCAAAATCACATAATCTCTCAATCGCATACATCTCTCTCCTGCAAAACCGCAGTTGCATCCTCTTCCCGCGCACACACACCGTGTAAAAACCTTGCACAGATAATATATCCCCACCACAGCCACACACCATCAGCAAATGAAAAACTACCTCCTCTAAACCTCGCAGATAAATGACACAATTTCCCTCTTGCCACAGAGGTCCTATCCCCGGTTAACCCCTCCCACCCAGCTGCTGCAGCCCTCCCCGCTGACCCCTTCTCCCCCCACCGCCCCCGCCCCCAAATCCCCACCCCTTTCTCCTGCCTGGGGAGGAGGCGCTGCCTTTGTTCCGCCAAGGGTTAACCCGGATTGTGTCTGTCACCCAGTTGCCCGGATGCTGATGTAAGGGGAGAGCTCGAGAGATCCCTTCAGATTGCAGTGAGAGGAGGCGAAGGACCAGAGCAGAAGAGGCTCTCCACCAGCATCTTTCATCCACGGCAACAGCAGCACCAACAGCAGCATCCTTGGCTGGACCAGCTGGATGATGCTGGTACCCGGACTGTAGCATCCTTCATCCTTCTCTCGCCTCCCTTTCCCTCCCTGATGCCGAGAGCATCCCCCTCCCCCTAAATCCTTAAGGATGCCGGCCCCGGTATTGTCCCTATAGGGGGATATCAGGGGGGCCTTGCCTTGCCGTGCCTCTCCCCTCCCCTCCCCTCCCCACCCCAAATCCCCCGTCTCTTATTGTTGCTCAGAAGGGTGACAGACAAAAGCCATGTCCGGTGGCAAAGAGGCAGGTGGGGTCCACCCCTACCAGCCACAACAGAGCCAGCAGCATGCTCAGTATGTGGGGCCCTACCGGCTGGAGAAGACACTGGGGAAAGGGCAGACTGGTGAGTACTTGGCACCCTGCTGCTCCTGGAGGTGGGGTGGGGTAGGAGGGGGCAACCCCAATGCCACAGAAATGGGAGAGCCCAGAGCTTCGCGTGTGGACCAGAAGTGTTTGTCCCATTGCAGAATGAGGGTGGGGAAAGAGATCTGAAAAAGGGAAGGCAGATGCATTTCCTGTTGGGGAAAATAAATTGGCCGCAGTGGTGGTGGTGGTGGTTGGCGAAAGCTGAATTCTTTCCTGTCCTGGAGTTTATTTGAGGAGAGCAAATGGGGAGTCTTGTTTGGGGCCAATGGCATCTAGGTTTAGTAGGTTGTCAGGAGAAGGGGGCAACACTTTGGGTGTTGGGGCACCTCGCTCTCTCTCTCTTACACACTGTTTTATTTGGGAGTGGAGAGTAAATGTTGGAGACTACCAGAAGGGAAAAGGTGTCTTTTAAGAGTTCAAAGGAGTGCATTAATGTTTACCCTGCTGGACTTTATTTGGTGTCCCTGTGCATGGCAGGGAAATAGTTTGCCTTACAGAGGTAGCAGATAGGAGAAGGGGGGAAAAGGAAGCGAAAATTTGAAAAACAACAACAAATAGGGGCAGGTTTTGAAAGGGGTTGTGGCCATCCCTGTACTTAGCAGCAAGTGCTGTTTGGGGATAGTTGGGTTCTTAGGATCACAGTGCTTTTGTGGTAGTTGATAGGTAGGTGTGTTTGTGTGTTTTAACGCACATTAAATGCCCAGGTGGAGCTTGGAAAGGGGAACGCAGCGAGAGCAGCGGTGGATCGACCATATTTTCTGGATGGGTTAGTTTCAGTACCTCTGCCCAGGTGCCTGTGCCCTGCTGGTTGGGGCCTGAAGCAGTTCTGTTTGGGATGAAGCGGTAGCTTAAAAATAATCATGCTGCAATGGCCAAGGTTGGCTGGGGAGGGAGGAAAGCAAGAAGAACCAACTGCTCCAGATTTATTCCATACAGATTCCCTACCTCCAACTCCCCCCCCCCCCCGAAAAAAAAAAATCCCTGTCTGGTCGGTGGAGAGACGGGACATACACCCATCTCTGTCTCCATCTCTATTTTGCCAAGGCTCTGTATTTATGAAGGGGCAATCTATAGGAGAGGCCTATAGATTTCTCCCCCCCCCCATACACCAATCTTCTCCTGCTGCAGCACTCTGGATGAATGGAAGAGTGGTGGTGTTTTGTTTTTTTTTACTCTCTGCAGGGATGCCGATTCGATTGTGCGGTTTAGATTATGGGGCTTGGTTATGAGAGAGATTGCTTGAATAAATGCCTAAAGGCTGGGTAATATGAAAAACCGTCTCCGTCGGCTTCCTTCTCCTCTTTTTCGGCGGCAGTCAGTTGTTCGATGGAAGGCTGAGGATGGGAAGCGGGGAGTGCAGGGTGGCCGGGGGGGGGGGGAGAAAGAACCATCCATCTCTCTGCAATGATGCAGGAAAACCCAAACCACAAGGCCTCTCTCTTCTCTCCTCTCTCAATTTGTGTGTGTCTGTGTGTAGAATGAGTATTGTGGCTTGGAAAGGGGGAAGATTACTGCAGTGGCAGAAAAAGACACGGTGACAGGGGGGAGAAGGAGCCGGGCTATGCTTGTGTGTGTGTGCGTGCATGTTTGGGAGGTGGGTTTTTTTTGGGGGGGGGGTGTTTTAAGGAATCATAACAATAATAAATATCTGGAGCAGGTGGGTGAAAGAGACAGAAGAGGCGGCAGGGGATAAGGGAGGGCGGGATTTTGCTGAATAATCATTTCTGCACCGTGGCGGCAGGCAGTTCACGCAAAGACATTTCAGGAATCGCAGGCTGAATGGGTAGGTGGATGGAGTCTTGCTGGGGGTGGATGGGATGAGGCCTGGCTGCATCCCAGACCCCAGAAGGAGGGGAGACCAGGAGCAATAGGAGAAATGGACGCCTCCTACGGCGGGCGAGAGTTTTCTTGCTCTTCTAATTTTGCTTGCCGCCGTATTTCTAGCAATCTCGTTTCCTCCTTCTCTGAAGGAGTGTTATTATGGTTATGTGAATCCTCAGTTGGCAGGAAACAGCGGAAGTCCAGGCACCAGCAGTGACATGCCCAAGGTCATCTAAGGGATGTTGGTGGCAGAGATAGAAATCAAAAACTGGGCATATCCCTCTTCCTCCTTGGCTATCCTGTTCAGTTTTGGTTTCCCAGACCTGAAGATGCTGAGTAGCGAAATGATAATAGCCATGGCCAACTTAACAGTGTTCTCCCACAGGACAGGTCACGCAAGAATTCTGCACTAGCAGTGATCAGAGACCTTAAATTCTGCAACTGAATAATTAGAGTAGGCTTGTCTCCCCGCACGTCAGCCCATAGTCTCAACAATCTGAGATGCTAGTGGGTTGGATCCAGGATGTTAAACTTTAGTCTCATTGACTAAATGAACGGGACTTAAGTTAGCCAAGATTAACTTGTCCTATTGATTTCAGTGGGGCTGAAGCTGCCTAGATCCATTGCCCTGGAGTGCCTTGGGCAAGTATGTCAATCTTGGCTTATTTACTATTCTTAAGAAGTAGAACTGAGCGTTGAAAAATATATAAAAACATATACATATCAACAGACATGGGGGGAGGGAAACCTCATCACTTTACTCACTCTTTTGCTTTCCTTATGCTTCCCACCTTTTAAAAGGCTGTGGGACTCACCTCCCATGTATGTTGTCAGGTCTAGGTACACTTACAGTACTACAGAAGAGGTTAAGGATGTCCTTTATATATCTTTTCGTTCGCAGAATTGGAGTTTATAAGAAACAAAACCAAACCCAAAGAGAGATGTAAACTCTTAACGTGTGGACTATCTGTAATTTAGGATTGAAACATGGGGAATCCCCACCCCAAGCTCTGATTCAATTTAACAGGGTCACCGGGGGTCAGATAAAATTGCCGGATCCACCCTATGGATTCCCAGTTGACCAGTCTACTGTTCTGTCCTAAACCATGACGCTCTGTGGCAGATTTGCAAATGCTCCCGCCAGTGTTGCTAAGCACACAAAACGTTGTACTAACCCATACGATCAAACTCTATTTACTAGAGACAACTCATATTTTCTGGTATGAGCCCTTGTTCAATTTCTTGCTTTTTCGGAGGCAGTGTGTTAAAATTTTGTTAGTGCGTGTTGCTTGAGTTAATTGTTCATTTTTCAGATTTGAGCTGCCGAGTTAGATCTAGAAGTTAACGGTGAATGGGTGGATTTCTTCCTTGTGGTGGAAGACGAGGCTATCAGTGGTCACCAGCAATGATGGCTACACTTTGTCCCCATGGTTTGGAGGCAGTAAGGCTTTTGGGTACCACTTGCTGGAAAGCACAGGAGGGAAGAGTCGTCTTTGTGCTCGGGTCCCACTTTTCCACTGTGGCATCTGGTTGGCCACTGTCAGAACAGGATGCTGGACTTGACGGGCCATTGGCCTGATCCAGCAGCCTCTTCTTGTGTTCTTATTATGGATGCATCTTGTCTATAGTGCACAGGTGTGTGTGTATATGCACACACATGCACACGGTGGCACTATCCATTGACATTTCACTGCCTCCGAAGTATGTTTGGAACTGTTATGACATATTGCAGGCGATCGTGTTTGTCAAACATACTTCCAGCCAAAAGAACAACACCTTTTTTGGCTTTTAAATAAGCATCTACCGCAAAATACACAGACACAGCATGTAGCAGGGTGATTGGAGCCTTCAGCAATGTGTCATAGCATGCGTGTGTTGGGGCGGCCGGAACAGGATTAGCTTTGAGGTGTCCCTGTTTTCATCTGGGAAATGTTGGCGGGTATGCTAAAAGTCTCTTCTTCCCAGATAAAGAACAAATGGGGGGGGGGGAGCCGGCCGTCCTTCCAAAGAGAGAAGACCTCCAACCAAAGAAAAACTCCGCCCCACCGCCCAACAATTTGTGAGGGTCAGGAGGCAGGCCACAGTGGGTGCTGAGAGGAGTTGTCTATGGGCGCTATGGTGCCCACGGGCACCACATTGGGGACCTTGGTTGTATCATGTGCACATGGTGATTGTTTTCCCCTCCTGCTTCTATTTACATCCTTAGATATTTAGAAACGGTCTGCATATCCTCACCTGTTCCTGCCCAATTGCCTTTTATCAGCCTGTCCAACTTGTGATCCAGGAAAATAAACATAGCCCCCCATTTGGGGGAAGCGAGGTGGGACTTGATCCATTTTCTGGCTTTTCTGCTGGGCTGCAAAGCAAGGCATGGCCAGGGTGTGTATGGGGGAGAATCAGAGAATGTAGGGACAGGTTAGCTTGCGGCATATATTCCAATTCGCAAGGGGCTGTCATTGTTGTGTATCCCCACCCCCCAGTAAATTAATGTCCACATTTTTGCCTTTTTGTGAGTGCCTTTTTCAAATTTTGCTAGCATATTTCAGGAATTGTCATGTGAGTCCCCAGACATGAAATCTCTGGAGTGGGTGATTCTAGTGTGCATGCATAAAAATGCAGGCGCATGCACACTAAAGGCTCACGCAGAGAGCACACGTAATGCCATTTCTCTCACTGCAGTTCTAAGGTATTTCAAAGTATTGATTGCATAGTGAAGTAGGTTTTTCTTCCTAGTGTGTCAAGTTTAAACCAAAAGGACTGCCATCCTCCTTGTCTTTGAAATCAGTGAGGGACGGGCTATTGCAGAATAAATGGGCACATCATAACACTGGCGATGAAAAGAGCTCAGCACTGTGTAATCGTGGATGGACTGGGGCTTCCAAAGTGAGCTTTGGTAGGATCATAGAGCCAGGAGGTATCCCAAAGGCCGTCTAGTCCAACCCCTGACAATGTAAGAAACCTGCTGCTTCAGCATCTCTGTAAGGTGACCACCCCGTCTCTGCCTAAAAACCATTCTAAGAAAGGTATCTACTGTCCAACAGTTAACAGCATTAATGTGCATACTTTCGTCTTCAGTGTCTAGGTTAAACCTCCCCTCCTTGTAATTTGAATCTGGGTCCTGCCCTGTGTTCTATTGCCTCGTTTTTAAAATTATTA